CCTAAATCCTTAGTGAATTATGATAGACAGCCTTGGGAAGCCCTGTCAGGATCCAAGTGTTCTTTGTATCTTGTTGTTAACTGTATTCATTTCCTAGACCGTTCTTAAATCACTACAAACTGGGTGGCTTAAAAGAACAGAAATTTATTCTCTCAGATTTTTAGAGCTAGACATCTAAAATCAAGATTTTGGCAGAGCCATGCCCTCTCTAGGGAAAAATCCTTTGTTGCCTCTTCCTAGTTTCTGGTGGTTGCTGGAAATTTTTGAAGTTCTTTGACTTGCAGCCATATCCCTATTTCTGCTTTCATCTTCACGGGGTCTTTTTTTTCCCCGTGTGTCTCTGTATCTCTGTCTTTGCATAGGTTTCTTATAAGGACACCATCGATTTTACTTAGGGCCCTCTGTAATCTAGTACTTTAATATCTGCAAATAAAGTCATTCTGAGGTTCTGGGTAGACATGGTCAACCCACTATTTCAGCAATACTGCCCATAAATGTCTTTGTTCTATCCAATTTGGCATCCATTGAGAGAGTAACTACTAAGATTACAATGATTCTAACTCTCAAATATGAATTGTTCTTTTTGATCCTCTATAATTCCATTGGTAACCAATGCTAAGAAAATAGTTCCACCACACTACAAAAAGGAACTTTAGGCACAGAGCTGTTCAAAACAGCATTGCTTATATAATAGCAAATTTGAAAATAATCTACATTTCCAACAATTGGGGAATGGTTAAGTATGGATAATACATGTACATAATGAACTACTAAGTAGATATTAAAACTACATGTGAGGGTTGTAGGAGTGTGAAAAAAGTACATGCATTTTTAGTAAGTGAAAAGTACTATATTGTTCATAAATACTAGAATAATGTTGAGGATAAACTGAAATCTTAAAACTGTACATAAAAGCAGCCCATTTGTCCATCCATTGGTAACTGGATAAAGAAGATGTGGTTTTTCTATAAAATGGAATATTACTCAGCCATAAAGAATGAGAAAATAGATTAATTCATAGGAATATGGATACATATTGAAGATATACTCCTAAGTGAAATAAATAAGGCACATGTGTAAATACCGAATAGTCTCTCTGGTTTGAATAATCTGCAAAAATACAGAAGATCCTAATAAGATTACTGACATTTAGAAATGGGAAGAAAGGAGCTAAAGGTATAGGGAAGGTGGGATGGGTAGGGGAAGGGTAATAAGGGAAAAGAAAAAAATGTGAGATAATGAAAAGATGGAAATAAAGTGTAGATGGGGAGGGGAGGAGGGGGTGAAGGGAGGGCAGGGACAAGGGGAAAAAATGAGAACCAAGACATGTCATGTAGAGGTACAAATTCCCAACAATGAATGTAACTGTACTGTATCCCTAAAATGTACCAATAAACTCAAAGCTGAAAAAAAACTTTCAAACATAATTTATCAAATATTACCACTGTTTGTATTTGAATGGCTGAATTATTTTTTAAAATATTTTAAAGTTCCAGTTATATATGTATCACAAAAAACAACTTAGTAGCTTCAAACAACAATGATCATTTGTTTTGCTCATAGGGGTTGGCTCATCTCTCAAGTGACTCAAGTGGACTGAAGGATCTGTTTTCTAAGGTAACTCAATGACATGCTGGTTCTGCTAGTTGAAGGAAGCTTAGCTGAAGTTGTTGGTCAGGGAGCCTTACTTCCTTCTCATGTAGCTGCTTGGGCTTCCCTGCAGCATGGCAGCTGTATTTCCAGATCAAATATCTCAAAGAAAAGGTAGTCCAAGTCTCTTAAGGGGGAGGCTTAGTAAATAGCACACCATCATTTCTGTAATGTTCAACTGATCAAACCACTATGGAGCTGGGAAGAATGTCAAGTAACTCATGGCCATCTTTAACCTATCATTTATGTCAACTTTTTTTCATAGTTAATGAGCATTACTACAAATAGGGGCATGTGAAGTACTTTGTAAGATGATTTTGTGAAAAAGATTTTATTTAAAAACTTGAAAACCCCATGTATAAATTCTGATGTCAGAAAACTATTTAGAATAGCAATTGTTTCTACGCTGCTTCAAAGAATCTTCTTCAACTACATTCCCCTACACACACACACACACACACACGCACAATTTGCAGGCACTTCTCCATGACCTGGTCTAAATATGGACTAAAAATTTAAGTCCATCATTGGGCTTTTGGATTGTCCCATTCCAGACAAGATATTTTTAAAAATGTGTGTATCAGGCCAGGGATTTAGCTCACTGGTTCCGCCACCTGCCTTGCAAGCCCCAAGGGCCTGAGTTCGATTCCTGGTACTACCCCCCCAAAAAAGGTATGTATATTAACAACTCTCTATTTCCTGTCCTCCTCACACACAAGAAAACTAATAAATGAATGAGGCACATCACCTCTACAGCAACACTGACTCAGGCTAACTCACTGATTACTAAATGATGGAGGGCTCACAGTTGCTGGAGACAGCCATATGGGCCCTTTTCTCAAACTGATTTGTCTCATATTTGTTCTAATATCACATAAATAAGTATTCATACTTAGATGCCACTTTCATGTGATCATGAAGCTGAACTCTTTAAGGGGACAGAAGACAAGTAATCTTTCAGAGAATGCCTACTAAGAATACCTACTAAGGTATGAAGCAATATGATTGACTGCCCAAGATTAAATGGGATCAGGGCACTAGAGCTTAGAATGTTTTACATAGTGTTTAATACACTATATTTAGTTTGGTATTGTGTGAGTATATGAAAATGTGAAGTATGTCCCAGTTTTCAAGTTTAAATAGCCCAAATTTAGACAGTCTATTTGGTAAAGAGCTGCCAGCTATTCCCAATATCCCAGATTCAATGAAGGTTACAGATCCTCTCTACAGAAAAATGTACGAGTGTAAGCAAATCATGCTGTGTATGTATTATGCTTTGAGGCTGCACTAAGTTAAAAGCCTCCATGATAAAGATATCTCAAAACTTTGTTAACCAAAGCTTCTATTACTTTCATGGTACCCAGTCCAACAACACTAAGTTCAAAATTGAAATCCTTGTGCATCTTGTCAATATTCTGTAGAAAAAAATTCTTTATGAAACTCTAGAGTGAGATAGATCATCTCAAACATGAAAAGGTCTACTTACATTGTGGCTAACAGTGAAAAAATTATCTTTGTGTTAAATTTGCCTTTCTTTGCCTTTACATCAGAGTAGACTACGCCAAGACCAGTATGATTGAGTTTTTATTCCTCTCTGCCCTAATCCTTAACTGCAACTTTTAGCTGTCCAAGACTAATACTTCCATATGGTGCAATGTTTATGTGAAGACAGGAGAAAGTGAGAGGCTTTCGGTAAATTTTATCCACAAAGAAATGAATTTATACATTCTAAGCAGCTGGCACAAAATATTGGTCTGTAATTGATTCTCAAAGAAGTACATTTCAACAGGAATAGGAAACTTGGACACTTTGTTAGTTACTGATGTTTAGAGACTTTGGGTGTCTTTGTACAATCCTCAGCTGTGACCTTAGGCAGGTTGCTGAATGCCTTTTGCCTCATCTGTAAAATGGGTTTAGCAATTTTACCTACTCATCAAGTTTCTGTGAGGGTTAAATCAGCCAATACAAATAAAGAGCTTAGTACACATCATATAGCAGGCACTCAGCAGATGGTTCTTCCTATTACCTATAGGCTAAGTCACAAGGAAAGAGAAATGAGATGAAGATGGGGGCAAGAGGGAAAAATGACAGAGAACAGTGTGCATGGACAGAAAACGCCCAGTCACTTCTGAATCTGGGAATAAGAGAGTTGTGTGAGCGGCTGTTAAAGACTTGAGGAGTAAGTAGAGGGATGGCAGTAGGTCCAACTTGTAGAACCAGGGGCTTTCTAACCTACCTTTTGGATCATTATTCACTTTTATAATTACTTACCTAACCAAAACAAAGAGAATAGGAAGGCAGAAGGGCAAATCCTGAGATCAATGAACATGCAAATATGACATTAATCTGTGTGAAACCAGTCCACAGAGTTTCATCTTTTCTTTCTTTTTTTTTTTTTTTAATTCTGGTGCTGGAGATTGAAGCTGGGTCTCTGTACTAAGCTACATTCTCAGCCCATTTGTTTATTCATTATTTTGGGGCAGAGTCTCACTAAGTTGCTAAGTTGCCTAGGCTGGGCTCAAACTTGAGATCCTCCTGTCTTGGCTTCCAGAGTACTAGGATTATAGGTCTGAGCCACCAGGCCCAGTGTTGACTCTTTATTACTTTGGACAAACTGCCAACTTTTCCTGTCACAAAGGATCTTTTAGAATGATTTCAATGTCTTCTATAACATGTTTACAAAACATTTCTATACTTTCCTAATACTGATAAAAATCAGTGATATTATTAGCATTAATTTAAAATATTAAATATTTAGTGTGTATTTACTGTGTGCCAGGCGCTATACTAAACGCATTACAAGGAGTACCTTATTCAATCCTTCTGAGGCTGTAAGAGAAAAGTTTAATAACTCTCCCAAGGTGACCCAGACAGCAAAGGGCAGAACCAGGACTAGAAGCCACACTGGTCTTAATTCAAAGCCTGCTCTACTAATGCCTAACCACTACATTCTGCTGTTAAAGATAATCAGATACATGTTCCTCTTTTGTAGTATGGTAATGCTTTTGTGTGAACTCAGCCTCATTATTCAAAGTTATGTAAACTGTAGTGACATTATACAGAAATATTAAGCTTTTGATCTCTATTTCCATGTTGTAGTCCTAGAATTGCTTCAGACAGATGGACATCTCGATGCACATTTTTCCCTCTAAGTTTATGAGAATCTGAACAAGACCAGTAATTGCTGAATAAAGCCTCCAAATACCTAAAGTACTTGGTAACAGGCTGAGAATCTGTTTCTTGTTTGCTTATGATACATAGTTGTAGGTAAGAAAATGTAAGCACAGTTATAGTGAAGAATACCTATCAATCTTTTAGATGGCTCAATGATGGAAAAAACAAAATCTGTATAAATGTATTTTTTAATTTTACAAGCATTAAGGGAACAAACAAACAAACAAACACTGTTCCATGTCCCTCCCCCTCATGCAAACAGCTCTCAAATGAGATTCTTCAAATTTTACGTTTTTTCCATTCTGGTTCATTCTTTGCTTCATCATCATCAGATTCAACTTGGGCAAACATGGTTTTCGGCTGAGTCCTAAAAGAAAAGTTAAAAAAGTGGATGAAAATTTTAGTCAGCAAGTGTTGATTACATTAGGCTGTGCTTCTTTTCTCAAGGGGAAATAAATTTGGAGAACTAATTATATCTCAACTATTATATATAAATCATTAAACTCCCGACAAAGAAAAAGAATAACAGACATTTAATTATGTTCAAAGATTCTTTTGAAGATTTTTCCCTCTGTGACGGATTGTGTAACACAGTCCTTCCCTTAAATAAAATGTAAATGCATCAAATTCAGTGGAACCTCATACATCATAACTACCCTTCATCTCCACTTAGGCAAACCGGGTTCATTTGGAAGACCAAGTTCAAACTAGATGGTAGTTTTTATTTCTAACTCTCTGAGTTCTTCCTATACTTAAGTAGTCCAAATTACATGGGACTATGGTACATATAGTAAGAGAATGGAATTATTAGTTTTCTTATCTAGAGAGTTTTAAATAATAGCTAACATGTATACTAACACATTCCAGTAAAACAAATCAAATAAACATTCCCTTCCCCTCCTTGCCTAGACCAAAACATGAAAATGCCAAGCATTTTTAGGATAAATCACTGAATGTGGCTGTAACACTGTCATACAGTATCATTACTGCAATACTGCCATAGTATATCAAACAATTTTCTTATGAGAAACTTCTGTGCTTTATAAACATACCTGGTTCAATGACACTTCTTTATACACCATTCATACAGAAAATAATTCCAAGAAAATGTCAAATGGTTATAATGTATGTTCCCTTTTGTCATACCGCTTGCAATTTTTTCTAAAAACAACTCTACTATAAGATGAAGAAACATTCCAGCATAATATCTGAAGAATATATGCCATATCTTGGCAATCATCTTCATATAGAGTTCAATTCACTGTGTCACGATAATTCCAGAATATTAAAGAAAATAACAATAACAATAATTCCTTTTATCTGGCAATGAAAGCAGGGTTAAAACTTTATATTACTTCTGTTTCTTTATCATCCTGGGGAAAAATAACCATCCACAACTCATGCTGATATTGGAATCATGTTCCAGAATTCCTTGTGCATTAGACTGTTCACAATTCCTGTCTATCCAGTCACCTCACACATCTACCTAGAGACCAAGCTGTCCCCATACACAAACCAGTTGGTTAAACTTCTTGTTGTCACTTTGAGACACTGTCATGACATCAGGTCATAGCTCTAACATTTCAGCAAGCAGCTGCGGCCTTTCATAGGCCCTGAGTTGCTGAATTACTAGAAAGCAGGACCATTGGCTTTTAAATGTGCTGCAACAAAGCAAATGGGGCTTGTTACATATTCTATGTTCTGGCAAAGATGTAGACCACTTAGTTATGGAGAAACTTGTTCAGGAGCAAATTTTTCTGGCTTTAAAAAAAATCTGTTGAGTTAGATATTTAATTTCTAAGGGAACAAAAAGAGCATGATCTTCCAAGAATATCTGGCAATGTTTCATAAGACACCAGCTCACCAGTGTTGGTTATAATGAGACTTAAATACTAAGAAGCTGCAACGCTGCTTTTTGGATACTAAAAAAAAAAAAGAAAAAAAAAGAAAAAGAAAAAAAGAAATTGAATGGCAGACCACAGGAAGAAAACCTACAGTTTAAAAAGGCTTATTTTATCTAAAGGGTTACTATTTAAAATTCCACCTACTTCCAAAAGTATTTGTAATAGGTTGGTGGCTAACATGAAAGGGCACAGAATCAATGGAACTATACTTAATAACCGAAAAGGAGTAATGGTTGCAGAGCAGCCTGAGAAAATGTTTTGGTGTGATGGGAATGTTCTATAATCTTGAATGAAGCGGTAATTGCATAGATATATTTATCTGTCAAAATTGGAATTGGATGCATTTTATGCTATATTGTATATAAATTGTGGCTCAACAGAGTTGATTTGTAAAGAAGACCTAAATAAAAAACAAATGAATAGAAGCTCGAGAACCAAGGAATTGGTGGCTATATAAACACAAAGCTACTAAATTTCCTAACAGCCAAAATAAAAGAAAAAGGACAATACTAGTTTTTCAAATAAGATTATCTTTTTTTCTTTCCTGGCTTGGCAATCAGAGAACTCACTGAGTAAATGTTTTACACAAATGAGGCTTAGACTATCAGTCTAATCAATAGAATACAACAATTTCCTTTGACTTTACCAAGAATTTAAATTTAGGGGAAATTAAATTGACTGGAAAGTGGACACCTAAAAATAACGAGCCTTCCTGTTAAACTCCAGAAAATTTATTTTAATTCAATTTTTGAACTAATCGCTATTGACATGCTATACGTATGAAATGTCAAACACTGACATCTCAATTTCAAGTTGCCATGGTCTCTTTCCCCAAATTGTCACAATCAAGGCATAAATATATGTTTAATTTTTTTTCTCAATGTTTGTTTCCTTCTTTCCTGCATCCTTTCTCCCTCACTCCATTTTCTCTTTCCATTGGCCAGAAAGGGAACAACTGAGCTTAGTAATTACGTTCCTATCAATCCCTGGTGTCAGCAGAATTGTAAATCCATATGCAATGAATGAAGCTGGATCCTTACCTTATACCATATACAAAAAACTACCTTAAACTGAGACAAAGCCCTAAGCATAAAAGTAAAACTACAAAACCTTTAGAAGAAAACGGAAAAAAAAATTGATATTAGCTTTGAAAATAATTTCCTGGATATGACACTAAAACACAAACAAAAGAAAAAGTATATAAACTGGGTTAGATCAAAATTTAAAACTTCTGCACATCAAAGGAAAACAGAATGGGAGAAATATGTGCTAATTATATACCTGATAAGTTTGTACTATTCAGAATACATAAAGAACTTCTACAACAATAACAAAAAGAAAAACACAACTCCATTACAAATGTACAAAGGACTTGAAGAGACATTGCTCCAAAGATAGTAAAAGTGAGAACCAACACATAAAATCGTGCCATAACCAATAGGTTATCATGCCATCACCATTAGAATGGCTACTATTAAAAGTATGGCCAGAACATGGACAGAAATTAGTACCACTGATCACTGCTAATGGGAATATAAAATAGCACAGATGCAACAAAGATTCCTCAAAAAATTAAAAATAGAATCACTATGATTCAGCAGTTCTACTTCTGGATATTAAAAGCATAATCTTGAAGGGATATCTGCAAACTCATGCTTATGGCAGCATTATTCACAATAGCCAAAGGGTAGAAGCAATCTAAATGTTTATTGAGGGGCCAGGGATTTAGCTCAGTGGTTCTGCCACCTGCCTTGCAAGCACAAGGATCTGAGTTCCATCCCCAGTATGTAAATAAATAAATAAATAAATACGTGTTTATTGAGGCATGAATGGATAAGTAAAATGTGGCACATACATAAATGGAAATCAATCATCCTGAAAAGGGATGAAATTCTAATACACTGCAACATGACAAAACTAAAGGACATTTTGCTAAGTGAAATAAACCATCCACAGAAAGACAATTACCGTATAATTCCATTTACATAAGGTACCTAGAGTAGCCAGACTCACAGAAATAGAAAGTAGAATGGTGGGTGCCAGCAACTGTGTGTGTATGGATTAGGGGTTGTTGTTTAATGGATATTATAGTTTTAGTTATAGGAGGAAGAGTTTTGGATATCAGCTATAAAACAATGTGAAAAGATTTAACACTTCTAAACTACATCCTCAAAACAGTTAAGATAGTAAACTTTGTTATGTCTACTTTACCGAAATTAAGCATTTAAAAAAAAAAAAAGTAGGGAAAAGGAAAGAAAGAAATGGAATTAATAGGAGAAAATGAAAAATAATGGAAACAAAGGCTTTGTAGATAGGTATGGAGGGAGGGAGGGGTTGAAGGGAGGGCAGGGGAGTGGGGAAAAAATAAGAACCAAGATTGATTATATAAAGGTACAAATTCCAACAATGAATGGCATTATATTGTATATATTAAATGTACCAACAAAATTAATTTCAAAAAAAACAAACTAGGCTCTTGAATTTGTAAGTAAGAAAACATGAAGCCTCTTCCTAGAACACAAAGATACCTTGAAGAAAATAGGTCCCTGAACTGGGGCTGTACCTATTGCAGTGTTTCTCAAACCACCTGTAACCACGCCAGTCTTTGTTTTCTTATCTCCTATCCCTTGTATCCCAAGTATATTTCGAGAAAAATACAATCAAAAGACTACAAATAATAATTTTTATTAGATTCAATAGGCGCATTGAGCTGCTGTAAGGCTTTCTAAGTAAGCACTTTCCTCAATTCCTATATCACTCTCATCTGCAAAGGCTGGTGGTCCACAGTGGTCATACCTACAGAGAGCTCCATCCACTCCCTAATTTAGAAAAGCAAAGAGAAAGGTGGGCTATGAAACAAGGATATGATACAATGATTTGTCTTCTTAACATATAGACATGATAGGCTTCCTCTACTATGGAAAAATATTTCTTTAACTATAAAAGTTGGCCCCATAGGAAGCTAGTAAAGACTTGAGATGACTTGAATATATATTTTTTAAAAATAATGACTTGGTTTGAGATTGCACTCTTAGGCCTGCCCTTTAAGGAGTGACCTTTAATTTCTGAGTTAGGCATGAGAAGATGGTAGAAAGTGTGGCCCACTGAAAAAATTTTCTCTCATTCTAATTCATCCTCCCCACAAAACCAACATTCTTAAAGCATAGCTGAAAATTTTTCATAAGAGATATATGTTATGAGCTGAATAAAGGCTAGGTTCTTTAAGAAAGATTACTCAATTTCAACCCACTGTACATCTCTATACAGCCTAACCAATGTCAGTGTTTTGTAGGGGCACAGTGAGAGTCACAGCTTTAAACCTTGCAGCTATTCTTTTCAGCAACTTTTATCTTTGGATTTAATTCTAGCAGTTACTTGTTTGAAAAATTCTAAAAAATCCTCATAAGAGAAACATTTAAAAATTCAATTCAGGAGTATCTGGAATATTTTCATTGGATTTCTT